CCACCGAGTTTTCCCCCCCCCCCCCCCCCTTACTTGCAAGGAAAGCCCGTCCCCCTGGGTAGAAATGCAAGTTCACAGATCACAGAGGAGTCGATAGCTGGAAAGCTCCTCTGGGCAGCCAGGTTTCTTCACTGGTCAGGTATCCTTTCCAATGGCGAAGTGTAGGGGGTGCATGTGCGCCCCCCGGCCAAAAGGCCCCTGTGAGCGGTCGCCCCCCGTCGCTGCCAGCGGTATGTGCAGGTGGTCCACGATCACCACCGCCCCCCACCATCGCTGCCGGCGGTGTCTACAGGTGGTCGCCAACCACTGGGCGCCACTCCTCGCCCCACCGCCGACAGCGCTGCGGCTGCCTGCAGCAAGTCCCCACCTGCCATCGCCACAATGCTCCCACCACCAACAGCACCACCGCCTGTGGGAGCTCGCTGTGCCCCCCGCCTCCGGGGCACGCGGCGTTCCCGATCCTTTTCATCGATCGACTCCTCTGTGATCTATGAAACACGAACTTCCATTTCTACCCAGGAGAACATTGCCAATCTTTTCTGCTGTGCCTGATTCATGAAGGGGGTTTGTGCCTGAACGCTTGCAAGTAAAGAATGGTTTTTTTGCAAAATCTTGCTGGTCTAATAAAAGATACCACCTCTGCTAGGGGTGGCCAACCTGCGGCTCCAGAGCCACATGCAGCTCTTCAGAAGTGAATATGCATCTCCTTGAATCTTCCGTTTGGAAGCTGGGCACGGTGGGCTTGTGCAAAAAGATTCAAGGAGACGCGTATTCACTTCTGAAGAGCTGCATGTGGCTCCGGAGACACAGGTTGGCCACCCCTCTACCGTGAGCCCTGGCTGCAAAATGCAGGATCATTTTTGAGGCAGTGAATTGATGCAGTGCATGCAAAACCCAAATCACTTTTCAGCAGTGTTACCTGACTTTTGGGGTTTGTTTGTTTTTTTAAAAGAAAAATTTTCCTGTTTCATGTCAAATCTGCCAAATCAATTCCAAATCCGTGAGTCAGTCAAGAACCTAATGCGGCTCTGCTACCGGCGCACGTCCTCTGCTCCTGCTTGAGCGGGGCCTGCCCGAGCCATGTCTGAGTGGGTCAGGCTGTCGCCAGGGGAGTTCAGGCTGGGATTTGAGGTTCCCACCCTGGCAGGGCCTAGGTGGGATCAAAGGAAAGCAGAGCTTGGGCTAGGCAAGTCCAGCTCCCAGCTCCAGGCAGCTTCATTCCTCATAATCCTATGACAGCAGCTGCCCCCAGGAAGGTTTCCCTCCCTGCAACAAGCTCTCTTTTGCCCTGCCAGCACCCCAGTTTGTCTTTAACCCACTCCATGCCCTGACTAACCCCCGCATCCCAGTGACACGGCTGCTGGGAGAGAGGAAATGCTGGAGGCTGCAAGGGAGAGAGGAACAGTGGAAGAAACCCTGCTCATACCCCATTTGCTCTCCCTTTCAGCATCTGCTGTCTGGCACCATGACAGGCCTATTTGCTCTGCCAAAAAAACTGGGCTGACACCCACAAGAAAACAATATAAGCTTCCCTTAATCAGGGAGGCTGCTCATGATATAACAACTAAATATGGGGAGGGGAGGAAAAAAATGGAAGGGAGTAAAGTCACAGGTTAATAACAAGGGATCAGGAAGAAGATGCAGAGCAGAGCACAATGGCCGGTGCCCACTGCCCCTGGAATGATTTGAGTGAGCCTGTGGATGCCCGCCAGTGAAACTCTGCTCAGAGATGTGAGCAAAGGAGTGAGAGAAAGGCAGTCTCACATCTGCCTAGGTTCCTGGAACAAGGCCAGAGCCTTGTTCCTGGTCTGCTACATGGCCAACTTGGCTCTGTGTGACAGACAAAACAGGGCAAGATGGACATATGGTCGGACCCAATAAGTGGCAGTTCTTACATTCTGTATCTGAATATATCTTGCCAATTTACAACTCCCTACTATGTGCTGGGTCCTGTATTCTCTTGATAGCAATGCATTGCCATACTTGCTTTCCCTCCACTTTACCTCAGGCTAATATAGGCGATATGACCAGCTGCATGCCTTACATTGCGCCAGTACGCTCTGTGTTCTATGCAGCCACCATGTGTGGGTTCCTGTATCCCCTTTAATCTCAACAAACCTATGTAACTAATTACAATCTTTTAACATTTACTAAAATGCCAGTGGCATGTGCAACAGATCAAGGGTCTCAGTCGGTTGTAAGTCTCGTCACAGGGGCATGAGACCTATTGTATAGGGGAGAAGGGTTCTGACCACCTCACCTCCTAATCCAGCAAGATTTTTTTCCTTAAATCCTTAGCCAACTTGATGCTATCACATATTTCAGCGGTTCTCAACCTTTTAGATTCGAGGCACCCCTCTTTTGACTTCAGGTCCCCTCCATAACTTCTGTCATTGAGCACCACCCCATTTCAAAAATGAATTTATTTATTACAATGCTTACCTTCTTATGGAGGGGTGGGAAGAGGGGACAGGGCAGTGGCCAGGCAGGGATGAGGGTGAGCCTGCACTTATCTCTTCTCACCTGCTTATCCCTTCCCATCTCAAATCACTCTTCAAAAATCTTCAAAATTAACAAGCATGTTAAGGAAGTATGGGTTAGATGAATGGACTGTAAGGTGGATAGAAAGCTGGCTGGGTCATTGGGCTCAACAGGTAGTGATCAATGGCCAGATGTTGAGTTGGCAGCAGGTACCAAGTGGAGTGCCCTAGGGGTCAGTCCTGGGGCCAGTTTTGTTCAATATCTTCATTAATGACCTGGAAGATGGCATAGAGCGCACCCTTAGCAAGTCTGCAGATAACACCAAGCTGGGTGTGGGGGGAGTAGTAGATACGCTGGAAGGTAGGGCTAGGAGTCAGAATGACTTATATGAACTGGAGGTTTGGGCCAAAATAAATCTCATGAGGTTCAATAAGAACAAGTGCAAAGTCCTGCATTTAGGATGGAAGAATCCCCCTGCACTGGTACAGGCTGGGGGCTGACTGGCTAAGCAGCAGTTCTGCAGAAAAGGAGCAGGGGGTTTCAGTGGACAATAAGCGGAATATGACCCAACAGTGTGTCCTTGTTGCCAAGAGGCTAACAGCATGCTGGGCTGCATTAGTAGGGGAACTGCCAGCAGATCGAGGGAAGTAATTATCCCCTCTATTCTGCAGGGGTGGGGCCACGTCTGTGGTACTGTGTCTAGTTTTGGGCCCCCCAATACAGAAAGGATGTGGACAAGTTGGAGAGAGTCCAGCGGAGGGCAACAAAAATAGTTAAGGGGCTGGGGCACCTGACTTATGAGAAGAAGCTGATGGAACTGGGCTTATTTAGTCTGCAGAAGAGACGACTGAAGGGTGATTTGATAGCAGACTTCACCTACCTGAAGGGTGGTTCCAAAGAGGATGGACGTAGACAGTTCTCAGTGGTGGCAGCTGACAGAACAAGGAGGAATGGCCTCAAGTTGCAGCAAGGGAAGTTTATGTTGGATATTAGGAAAAACTTTCTCACTAAGAAGGTGGTGAAGTGCTGGAACGGGTTAAATAGAGATGTTGTGGAGTCTCCATCATTGGAGGTTTTTAAGGCCCAGCTCGACAAAGCCTTGGTTGGGATGATCTAGTTGGGGATGGTCCTGCTTTGAGCAGGGGGGTGGACTAGATGACCTCCTGAGGTCCCTTCCAACCCCCATTTTCTATGATTCTAAAATTCTGTAATCTCAGGGTACCCCGGGATGCCTGGCACTCTGGTTGAGAATCACTGGTGTATTGATTAGTGTAGATTTATGAGGAAACAAAGGGCTTGAGGACTGCTGATAGGATGGGGAAGGGGAAGGGGAACGGGTCCTTCCTTTTACCCCTGCAGATTCCTGAAACAGAAGAGGGTTCAATGTCCTCTTCTGAAAATGTCACTTAGATATAGGATTGCACCTAAGTGCTATCTCCCCAGACAGCATGCAGAGGTATCAGAGCATCTGATTCTGGTCAGAGAAGGATTGACAGCTGTCAGTAACAGCAATATGCTGCTATGTTGGGCAAACTACCTGTTGGCAAGGAAGTACTGAATATTGTATCATTTTACAGGCCCTAATAATTGATTATCCATATAGTTATTATTTATAGTTCCCCAGAATAAACTGAAAATCCCAAGGGGCTGAGTATATAGCAGCTCTTCAAATTCCTAGGCTTATTTAGATATTTGTCTTGAATTCTTTTATTATGAACTTTGGTGGTGTCACTTCCTTGAGCTACCACAGTGGTGTGACCAAGGACAATGAGAAGTAATTCTGGCACTGGACTGACACACAGGCTCCTAGGTTCATTCCATAATTTTTCCCAGATCCTTGAACAAGTTATTCAATCTCTGCTATACTGTCCAACCCAACCATTAAAAAATAAAAGTAAGTATCATAAATAAAAACAAATTGCCCAATAACTATGAAATATTAGAAAACAGATTTGGGGCCTTTTTACTTAATTTTTGTTTTTTGAGCATTTCAGGGTGTATGTTGTCAGTCCCATTAGGAAAAGAAACTGATTTCCCACCTAGTTTCCTTAGTGAAAGCAGAGGTTATTAATCACCTCACTCCAGGAACTGGTACTTTAAACAAAAAACCCCACCACATATAAAATCACAAGCACTGGAAACAGTCTCTGAGTCCTCCTTTCCCCTTTCTGCAAAGTAGAGGTAATGATACATAACATACCAAGATGTTTTGAAGATAAATTTATTCATGTTTGAATCATTAATCATAAAATATAATTAGGTGGCCATATTTAGAACGTATAGAAACAGTGGCAGGCAGGAAAACTGTTACCATTTAGCAAATCATACGGTGCTTT